GCTTCTGTGTGGAGAACAGGCCATAAAAAGGCAAGGGCAGAAGTGGGGAGAATATTCAGGAGGCTACTCCAGGAATCCAGGTGAGAGGTGATGGAGAGAGTGGTGGCTGTGTGAGAAGTGACCTGATTCTGGATATATGTTAAGTAGAGTGTTCAGGAGTTGCTGATAGAATAGGAAGATGTGAGTTCGGGGAAAAACGGAGAACTCCGGGGTGGGTAAAGCTATTGGAAAATTTGCAGAAGTAAGGGAAGAAAGTAGATGTGTTGAAAGTAGTATGTTTTTATTGAGTGTTTAGTGTGTATCAAGCATCATGCTAAGTTCCTTATCTGTATCACTTCACTTAATTCTTCTGACAACCTTAATTTGCAATGAAGGAACTAAGGCCAAGGGGGGGAAAGTGACTTGCCATTCACGGAGCAGATGTCAGGCCAGGCACCGCTGCAGGGCACACTCTGTGAATTAGCCCACATCATACAACCTCTGTCTTCTCTGAGAAATGGAAGTTTACCCAGAGTTGGGGAGAGAAGGTGTAGTAAGGTAAGATCAAGATTGGGAGTTCAAAAAATGTTGAGTGATTTCTCGAAAAATGTACATCAAAGATTTAAACATGATAATAAGATGATTTTTTGACAATGCTTTCTTTAGGGGAGTCAGTGTGGTTTGGGGCTCACCTTCTTGTGGCTATGTATGCTATGTCTAGATAAGAAAACGACTGAGCTGCGATCTTTCTAGACCTTTCCAAAAGTAACCTCAATCACTGAGTGATCCCTTCTGCTGCCACAACTGGTGTGGAACCAATTCCCAGCTCCCAGTCCTATGAGATAAACATCCTCATGATCGTATTTAGCATAAACATTGACCTGAAATGGAACAGGCTGGCAAGATGGAAGTTGAGTCATGACATATTTATTAAGCTGAGCACTGAGTTTGACACTCAGAGGAGCACCAAAATAATTCAAGACACATTTCTTGCCCTTAAGGGGCTTACAACATTGGCTTGGCTGGAAGACCACCCAATATCCATTAGGATGGAGAAATCAAATCTCCACTTTTGGACTCACTGCACTGCTCAGAGTGACAGGCCAGGAGATTAAAAGGGTCTTGGTGCATATGGAATGCATGCGCGGCCTGCAGCCCCTCAGCCTGTGTGCATTAACTCCACAAGCAGCCTGGCTGCAGAGTGAAGGTGGCTGTTTGTGCATAAACATTGTCATTTCACTGGGACTGCTATTTCATCTTTGAACCTTGGCATCAAAGGAACACTGACCTTATTCCTGTAGCTTGCCTTTCTTTGAAGCGTATGGCTTTGCATTGCAGATTAAAGTGAAGACATTCATCAAGGAACAGATCTGGCCAACTGCTCTCCAAACTCAACCCGAAACAAAGCCTTGAAAGACTCCAATCACAGTTGCAGTGGAGTGGGCTGAAGATGAAGGCTCAGAGCCCGGCTCCTCTTTCTCAGATCCTGTAACGCAGCTTTTGCTTGAAACAGTGCATCCTTTGAGCTCTGGGCAACTTTACCCTGAGAGTGAGTCTATCTCTGCAGAAAGGGGTGAGCTAGTGCAATGTCCCTAACCTGTCCTGCTCATTTGATTTAAAGAAGCCACTGTTGCAAATGAGGCCAGTGTGATCATTCACTGTGTGCCTTTGAATGCTTCAAAAGATGTGTCAGGCACAACCACCTGAAACTTGGCTGATAATTCTGTCAATTTTCTTTTTCTTCTACTTTCCTTTGTTTGTTTCTTTGAAAATAAACTGTCCTATATTTCTCCCTCATTCTCATATCTTGCCTCTAAAAAAACCAGACTGTACACATGACATTCTCTGTTTTTTTTTTTTTTCTTAAGATGACAAGAGGAGTAAAGTGATAAACTTTAAATGCGAGGTTAAAAAAATAACCAAAGAATTACTTAGGTATAAGGCTAAGAGAGAGAAGCAAGGGAAATATCTCCTACCTCAGGGGAAGAAAAATTGATGGCAGATGATTACTCATGTCTTTAATGTAATCTTTCTTCCACTGTGATCAGATCAACAGAGCAAGTTCTGTCTGTGATGAAGTGGTAAGCCAATCCAGAGGACGGAAGGAAATGATTGTAAAGTTGCGTACATGTAAAGCAACTGATTCGGATGACATATACAACAAAGGACTCCGGAAATGAGTGAAAATTTTTGTTGAGACACAAGCTAATTTCTAGAATAACTTTTTCCTAGTCACTTGTCTTTAAAACAAGACCAAAGAATAATTCTAGTCATTCTGAGACAATTCACTTAACTTGCATTTTTGCTTAAAACTCAAATAATTGATTTTCCATTAAGAAACACTTCAAGTTTAAGAAGAGAATTAATATGGCTTTATGGGAAGCCAGTAGTTCCAGGCCAGTTTTTTCATACAGTAGAAAGCTTGTGGAGGAAAAGATGCCGCTCTATATGGCTTCAATGTTAAAAGGTTAAAAGATACCTGTTTACGACAGGCATAGTGGCTCACACCTGTAATCCCAGCACTTTGAGAGGCCGATGTGGGCAGATCACTTGAGGCCAGGAGTTCCCGACCAGCATGGCCAACATGGTGAAAACCCATCTCAACTAAAAATACAAAAATTGGCCAGGTGTGGTGGCTCATGCCTGTAATCCCGGCATTTTGGGAGGCCAAGGTGGGTGGTTCACCTGAGATCGGGAGTTTGAGACCAACCTGACAGTGGTGGTACATGCCTGTAGTCCCAGTTACTCAGGAGGCTGAGGCAGGAGAATTGCTTGAACCTGGGAGGTGGAGGTTGCAGTGAGCTGAGATCACACCATTGTACTCTAGCCTGGGTGACAAGAGTGAAACTCTGTCTCAAAAAAAAAAAAAAAAAAAAAAAAAAAAAAATTAGCTGGGCATGGTGGTGCGCGCCTGTAGTCCCAACTACTCAGGAGGCTAAGGCAGGAGAATTGCTTGAGTCTGGGAGGTGGAGGTTGCAGTGAGCCCAGATCACGTCACTGCCCTTCAGCCTGGGCGACAGAGCAAGACTCTGTCTCAAATTTTTAAAACTCCCCCCAAAAAAGAACCTCCCCCCACCAAAAAAAAGGTACCTGTTTATCCAATCTGTATCCCTTAATTTACCCCGGCCTCTTTTTGGGGTGTGGCCATATGACTAGTTTTGGCCAATAGATTGTAAACAAGGTGATAAGAATCACCTCCAGGCTGACCCTCCCTTTCTTTTTACCTTGGTAACCATGGGGGCCATGTGTTGAGATGACGAACCCTTAAGGTGAAAGCAGCCTGAGTCACTGTCTTCAAGGACAAGCACTGTGTAGAGAGCTGACTGATTGGTATTAGATGTGATGCAAACAAGAAATACCTTGGTTCTGTGAAGCCACTGAGATCTACAGGGTTTATTTATTATGGTGTCAAAACCTCCCTTATCCTGACTAATCCAGGATCTTATCTTAGAGGATATCTAGTCCTACTTCACTTCTGTCATAATGATGCTTCCTACAGCATCTCTGAGAAATGGTTCAAATACTTGTTGATCACCTCAGAAACAACAGCAAATAACAGTAGCAAGCAATTATATAATGCTTACTAATAATTGTCTCCAGACACAATGCTAAATATTTTATACAGATTAATGTATCTAATTCTCACAAAAGTCTTGGCTCCTAAATATCATTTTTTCTCACTTTATAACTGGATGAATTGAAGTACAGAGAAGTTGAGTCACTTGCTCGGGGTTGAATAGATAAGTCACTCGTCTAAAGTCACACATGAGTGAATAGTATCACAGGAGTAAGATCCAGGCAGCTACCTTCAGTCTCATACCATAAGGGCTTCCTAGACTGGACTGTCGTTTTCTTTTCACAAAGACCAATCAATAAGATGCAGAGTCATAACACTGAAAAGGCAAGCCTGGAAGGAATCCTAGAGATCAGCCAATCATTGCATTTCACATGGAGGAAAAAATATCCTCCTGCAGGCCTTTACCCTGCTTTAGTGAAAAAAAGTCCTGTCTTTCAAACAAGTGTCTTGGGAGCACTAGGGCTCAGTAGAAGGGCCCCAAGGGGTATCAGTATGGGGGTAAGTGAAGACACTACTTTAACTAGATCAGCCTTGTTCTTATCTGTTTTATGCAGTAGGCTTCTGGTAAAATTTGTATGTGAATATTCTGCTGCTTTAATAATACCGAAAACTGATGGAGTACCCCACACTTCTATTGAAATAGCAGGCTTGGAGGGTTGCATTAAACAATGTCGGACTTCAGGACAGCTGGGAAGTGAGGTGAGGCACATGGATTGTACAGTGGCCAGGATAAATTGGCTACTTCCATAAATGTGCTCACCAGCTTGCCTGGCAGCAAGAACTGCCTTCTTCAGCACCATATCCCCTCTGGTGTGTGACATGCGGTAGAATCTCTATAAACCATCTCTGCAAAATGGAGGGAGAGTTCCAAGAGGCTTTTATGAAACAACTTTTCAAAAAGGATTAATTTGGGTTGAGCAAGGTAGCACAGTTTAGCTCTGTTCCCATTGGCAAAGAAATGACTGGAAGGTTATTGTGTGTTTTGTCTATATATCCTCAAATGGCCAGTGGTGGCCTTCCATTGCCCAACCTCTGGCTATAAAAAATAAAAGGATGAAAAATTGGATATTAAATTGGCTACTTTGGTCTTAGGGAAACACAAGTGACAGCCCCAAGCAAGCACAGGCAAGCATGTGCATGCAAGCGCGCGTGCGCACACACACGCAAACACACACACACTATATTTGCTTCATTTCAACATAATTGATCACACAAAATTATCTCAATTTGCTGTTCACAATGAGGTAAATTAGAAAGTTTTCTTTGCTTTAACGAAGGGTTTTTGTGTGGTGTGCTAACAGCAGTTTTTGTGCATTTATCACATGGCTTGATTTACAAATAGGGTTCTATAAGATAAAGGTGTGTATTTGAGAAGTGGAAAAGTTAATGAGGCAGAAGGGAGACAGAGCTATGCAAGAGCTGTGCTCTATGCGGATCCTCTTACCTTGTGTGGTCCCATCCATTCCCATGAGATGTTTTAGTGATCTGATGATTTGCTCTGCTATCGGTGGGCTCATGGATGAAGCATAGACAGCACTATGCGAGTGAACCCGTAAATAATCCACAAGGTCCTTAAATAAAGAGGGAAAACACGGAAAGAAGGCAAGTAAATCTCAACACTGGTGGTGGAAATTACATCTAGTCCCATCCCCATCTTCATAGCAAAAGACATTTGATCTCACAGCTCAAAAGAGGAATGGGGTCCAACTCTCAATGGTTTTCATCAAACTCTTTTTTTCTATTTCCTTCATAGTTTCTCCCTCAAAAACCTAGAATCTACAGCAAAGCAGGATGCTGCAAATTTGGAGTTGAACTTTAAGGCAAAACCAGATGTGTGAAGAAAAAATGATCTCTGAAGCATTTGTTGAGTACCTACTATGTGTGAGCACTGACTTTGTGTTCAGTGCCCAAAGAACACAGGATGTGGTCCTTGCCCTTGAGAATATTACATGTGATTGTGCCCATGAACAAGCATGGTAGAATAAGTCACAGTCCATGCAAACTAGGACATGCAACAGGGCTGCAAGATGCAGAGGAAAGAGAGAGGGTCCTTCTAGCTGAAGTAGATAGAGAAGGTTCCAATGAGGAGATATGATTAAGCCTTGAAGAATGAAGATAATTAAGGAGGAAAAGAAAACGTGGAGGGAGGGTGGCAGAAGAGAGAAGCTGAACATAGGAACACAAGCAAGAAAGTAGAAGGCATGTATAGTAGAGTGTTTACCAAAATTAGCTGTAATTCTCTCACTGCCTGTAACCATGCATCTTTGCAATTCAACTTTGCAGCTCCCTCCATCAAAAGGCGGATTAATCTGGGCTGGCCTTGTGACTTTCTTTGTCCAGTAGTATATGGCAGAGATGATGGTGTGGTAGTTCTGAGTCTATGCCTCAAAATGCCTTGAGTGCTTTTGTCCTCTCAGAACTCTCTCCAGCTGCTATGCGAATAAGCCTGAGCTAGCTTGCTGGAGGATGACAACCATGTTGGACAACCATGAGAAGGACCACTCCAGCTGAAGCTACCGCAGGCCAGGCAGTGCCCTGCTGACTCAGCAATGGACTGTTGTACAGAAGCAAGTCCAGATGAGACCAAAAGAACTCCTCAGCTGAGCCCAGCCCACATTGTTGATGGACAGAATTGGAAGCTAAATAAATGGTGGTGATTTTAGACACCAAATTTGGGGGTGGTTTGTTACACAGCAAAAACTAATGGAGGCAGCGTGTTTGGAGGACAGCAAAGGACAGTTTGAGTACAGGTTTGTGGGAAATGAAACCAGAATATAGGTTAGGAACAGATAAACTCTGGTTATGCCTTGGGCAGCAGATAACTATTGGAATTTCGTGTATTTTGTGTAACACTCTTTGGAATGCTGAGCTGTTACAGAATTCTGGTCTTCAGTGGGAGGAGCCATTTTTCACCTGTATGCCTGATTCCTGAGGCCAAATGTAAGGTCCCAAGTAAGCTTGCTGAAAGCCTTAAGAAGCTCCAGTAACCTAATGCCTCAGTGGTGAGGGCCTCAGAGCTGGCATCTGCAGGTGCTCAGTTGGATTGCAGAGACCCTCCATCAGCCTACCTACAGTGTCTCATGGCCTGGGACCCTCAGAGTGTCCTTCAGAAAAGCTAATGGGCTGATGGCAGCCCTCTGCATTAGCAGTGGGGTCTTTAAAGGATCAGGTGCCTTCTCTTTAGAATAATGGCACAGCTTAGAATCCCACTTAGGCAAGTGTCTTCGCTATGTCTTCCTTCCTCATGAAGGTGATTTGGAAAGAGCTCTTGGGAATCAAGATCCTCTGCTTTGGGGTAGGTTCATGTCCTCCTCACCCTCCTTCATTAGTCACATTCATTCCCACCTCCGAGCCTGGTCCTGTTCCCTGCCCATCACCATTCCATCTCTCTTGGGTATGTGTGGGCATTGTTGCTTATAAGCATTTTCAACAGTCACAGTTTCTCTTCCTCAGAACAGTGTGTGGCCTGCCTTATAGTGGTTGGTGAAGGTTAAATTAATGATGTGATGACTCTACCTGGTCCATGAGGGGAACCAGGGAATCTGTTCTGTTCTTCCTGCCTTCTTCAATATGTCTTTCATTCTGAATCTCCTCGTCCACCCATCCTTCTTCTATGACTTCCCTTTTCCATCTTCTCCTTCACTTCAAACTATTCCTTTTGTTTTTTGTTTCTTCCTTTCCTTCTAGCTTCCTTCCTTCCCCTTCTTGTCTACTCTGATTCTCTGTCTCTCTCCCTCTCTCTTTTCATTTCAAATTTTTTATTTAAATCCTTTTCTTCTCTGTATTTCAAAGTATTTCCTCCCTCCCTCTCTCCCTCCCTCCCTCCCTCC